GGTAAACAGGTGACCTAATGTGGGTTACATAGTGGAACTTTATAGGTCACATGGAGCTCAATCTATTGGGTGCCACGAGGCAACTCATGGCATAACCCTAGATGGCTGGGGGCGTGGATGCTGGTGCCCTGGTAACTAACTCCTAGTTTAAATTAGGAAACCAAAGTGAAAATGAAACAAAATTTTGATTGAGGTGAATTCTAAGTGTTCTAGGACGTTTAAGATGATCTTCTTGAAGATTTATTTGGTTATGAAAAGATTTTCAAAGGTTAGGAACAAGGTTCAGAAACTCATCTTGCCAAAGGTACTCGGCGCTTGGCTCAGGGGAATAACTGATTGAGTGGACTCGGCCGAGTCATGTGACAAGGTAAAAAAGAAAGGCTAAATTTTTTAAAAATAGTTAACAATAAAAAAAAAAGTTCAGAAAGATTTAAAAGAAGGGAAAAATATGAAAGTTCTTGAATCATCTTAGAAACTACCAAAATCATTTAAAAGCTTATTTCTCACAAATATAGTGGTGTTTCCCAAATTTTCTACAAATTTTCTATTTTCTAATATTTTTTTACTACATTTATAGGGTTGGGCGAGTTGCTGCGGAACCATAGTTTCAAAAAGCGTTAGACGGGTCCTAGGTGGCCTGGGGGGTCCAGGCCGCCTAGTACCTAGGCAGGCGCCCAGAACTTGGACGGCCCAGTTGAATCCAAAAAAGATTCTATAGTTATATATTGTATAAAATATAAGAATTAGTTATTTAGTGCACATCAAAATTCAAAGTATACTACACATTAGCACACACTCCATAAGCATAACCATAGGTCGGTCCATATCCAATTAAAACTTAAAATTTACTAACCAAATTACCAAACCAAAGTTACCAAATACCAAACCTGTAGAACTACAAATCTACTATCCACAAGACCACAATACACAACCAAGAGGAAGAAAAAAAAAATGAAAGTAATACGTGAAGAATCAAAAGAATCTTCAATAGTTCAATCAATGTTCAAAGTTTAATCAGTATTCAACATTCATCATCAGAAAAAGTATGGTCAGCTGCATTTGCGTCATATTCATTGCCATTGGAGTCGTCACCCTCTTCGACATATTGGTCGTCCTCATCCATCTCTTCTGAATCTGCCTTTTCTTCCTCCTCTTCCTCCACCCTCGGCCTATGTGCAGAAGATCTAGTGATCCTAGGAGGGTCAGCTAATGTCCATGAAACATTCATGACCATGTCCCATGTCAATCCTTCGTGCCCCTCGACCTCATCATCATCAACTAACCACTCTATAGCATTGTCTATATTTTTTGATCTGATACGGTCTCTCTTATCTCTCTTAGCAAATCTGTCATTCAAGAATCGATTATACGTAACATAGACTATGTCATTGAGCCTCTTTGATTCAAGCATGTTCCTTCTCTTTGTATGAATATAACAAAATCAAATGAAACTAATTAAAATCTGTGATTCATGTATTATTAATACAATTATACAAATTACCCTTACGGCCTTACCCCTTAAAAAGTACTCCAATTGCGCTCACAACCGAATGAGCAAGTGGTTAGGTTTAAGATCCGAATGGTCAACTTTTGTAAATTTGGAGCACTACACTCATGTTGGCTCCACCAATTGGCTACAAAGATATAGAATAAAATCATAAATAAATAATAGAATTATAAAAATGAAACTTAATTACTTGAACTTGATGAACTTAAGAATATTATTACTACTTGGATCAATTTTGGTCCTTTGCCTCATTGCCATTGGACTCCCAAAAGACTTTAATGAGTACTTGTAATTTATTAGCTCATCAGCGCATATAATATACTGGATATCAAGATTAGGGACTAGCACATCTACACAGTTATTAAATCCAGTCATAATTGTGTCATTTGTTTGTATATCCTTGTCAAGATAAAAAAAAAAGTTTGGTTCAAATAATAATCAGCTGCATACAATGGCCGATATAGCTGACTATCCCACTTCTCATCAATAATCTCCCAAACAGGCTTGTAGTGGTTCTCATCATCATCAAAATTTTGGCCTCTCTCTCTTTTGCATTTCTCCATTGCCTCATATATGTCGCCCATAGAAGCCTTGTCACTATCAACCATGCGAAGGACTTTGATAAGAGGAAAACATACCTTAAGGACTCCTTTCACCCCTCGCCAAAAAGCCTTAGAAAGGATAATATCTCTCACCTTCTTCCTAACCTGATCCTTGGACCACTTCCATGCTCTCCAGTCATCCGAGGCAAACATCTGCCTCAATTGCACTCTCCTCGAATGTGTGCTATCTAAGCATAGGTACCAGGTCGCAAATTTCGTGACCCCAGGCCTCACAATCTCTTTCTTCTTTGTAAATCTACACATCATGTTGAGGGGGAGATGATGGCTATAAATAAAATTTGTGACTGACTTTGCTTTCTTCACTGCACCTGATATCGCGGTTAAACCGCCAAGAGCCTCAAGCATGAGGTCTATACAATGTCCTGCACATGGTGTCTAAAAGATTTTAGGATAAGCTATGCGCAACAAATTTGTTGCAACAACATTAAGAGCGGCATTGTCTGTCACAACCTGTACAACAGATGCTCTCCAACCTCCTCGATTCCCTTCTCTATAACTTGGAATATATAATGGGCATCATGGATATGATCAGAGGCATCATGGATATGATCAGATGCATCAATAGACCTCAAAAAAAGGGTCCCTAAAGGACAATTCACTAGCAAATTCATCTGACTTCTTCTCTTCCTATCACTCCAAGCATCAGTCATAATAGTAACCCCATACTGAGCCCATGAATCCTTCGTAACTTCTACAGCTTCTTTCGTGACACTCACCGCTTTTTTCAAAAGAGGTTCTCAAAGCTCATATGGGGTTGGGGGTTTCATCCTAGGCTCAAATTGGCCAATTGCCTCTACCACGGCATAGAAGCTACTTAGGCGAGTGGTATTGAAAGAAATGCCCGCCTTATAAAACCATGTAGCAACATAATAAGTAGCTCTATCTCGCTCTTCTTTCATTCTATTTTCAATGGTGGTTTGCATCTTTGTTTTCTCTCATGCAATCTTAGGGTCATGCCGAGGCAAAATACTATCCATAAGGCCTCTAACCTGAGGCTTCTTACTCCCAAAACCAAAAGCACTTACAACTCCCTTTCCCTTCCCCCTAATAATAGATTGTTTTCCCCCTTGACGTCCCTCCCCAATCCCATCCTCATCACTATCATCATCATAATTGACCCGAACCCCAGACCTAATCTCTGTTATAGAGGTAAATCTCTCATCTTTTTTCATTTTTACCATATTAAAATGGTTATTTCCTCTTTAACAACATCAGGAGTCTTTTTACATAGGGCAACATCCACCTTGATACCGGTAAGATGTTTCTTGAACCGATTTATGCCCACTTTTGTATCATTCTCACAAAGCTTGCATCGTATGTATTTTTTATCATTAGGATCTGTTGTAGCCATATTTCCAACCGGGATCACCACTCCTATTAGATCCTGAAGAAGGCATCTCAAAATAATACAACTTATGCAAGCAATAAAAAAAAGCACTTACTTTGATTGCTCAATCCCCAAACTTCCACCTTATAGATGCTTTTAAGGAATCAAAATCTTCTAAAAAACCAACAAATAGATTTATAAAACATAAAAAATTAAATCTAATATCAATGGGTGATGTTTTGATAAATTTTTCATAACTTTGAGAAAGCCTTCGATCCTAAAGAAATCACAAAAAACTAGTTTTTTGGAGGCATTCTCTCTCTAAAATGGGCTCTAATGAGTTTTAGGTTTCAAATGAATCTAAAACCCCCATATTTGGCCCCTTAGTATAAAAAAAAGACAAAAATAGTCCCCACCAAAAGCTTTTTCCGCCTCTGGGCGGGGCGCTAGACCTTGGCAGCCGCTTAGGTCTGGGCGTTGGGCTGCCGCCTGGGTGCGCCCAGGAACGTCCGCTTTTCTTGGGCGCCTGGGCCTGGGCGATGCGCCCAGGCCTCCAGATCCACGTAGGCGGCCGCTCAGGCACTGGGCGGTCCGCTTTTTGAAACACTGTGGCACTCACCCCTACTTGTCCTTGCACAAAGGGCGGGTCTAAAACTACTCGTCTGAGTCGGAGTGGGACTTGGGCGAGTCACGGAATGCAGATTAGGACAATATCTAATTGGATTAAGACTCCTAGGTCAAATGGGTTTCTAGGAAGGTGTAATCCTAATCAAATTGAAAGATCTGTTGGTGTTGGTGAGATTCCTACTATGTGATTCCAGCCCTTGGACCATAATGGCTGATCTAGAGTTGATGGTTTAATCCTTTTAGGTTTCCCATTTCTAGTAGAAGGTAAAGAGCGTTAATTCCAAAATAGTTCTAGACATCCCCTTTCCCCTTCTTACATATCTTTCCTTTGCAACCCTAAAGAGGAAGGGAGGTGCACTGAGTGCTGGATAATTTCTAGGAAAATTGATAAGAGGAAAACAGAGTAAAGAAAAAGAGGGTGCTTCTTGGAAGGGCTAGGGTTTCTCTATGGTGTTGTTTTTGAAAAGATTTGAGACAAGTTTTTGGTTTCTCTTTCTTCCCTCGATATGTGCCTCTACAAATCAGCCTTAGATATCTTGAAGAAGAGGTCTTTGCCTTTGATCTAGGTGTGCTATTGGTCTAAAGAAACTATAAGGGGTGTAAGAAGTCCTAGTGGGTGATATTAGGCAACAAATACGTATGATGTTTTGGACTACAAAAATTAGCTATGGTGCAAGGTATGCCTATTTATTTTGTTTTTGAGTCTAGTTTCTTCGTGTAAGATTTTAGAAAACATCCACGGATTGTTTGGGAGATATGTATATTGTATTAGAAGATACCCTGTCTGTTTTTTGCTGAATTCTACTTTGCAAATATGAATTCTCTATATTTTCATGGCTTATTATTGAACATAGCAACAAAGGTAACTTAAAGTTATATTCTTTTTGTTTCCTTTGCTCTTTTCTATATTTATCAGAGGAGAAAAGGGGTTGCACATATGAGGTTTTGTGTGTGATAGTGGAAGTCTATAAAAGATGCTGAAAAGTTTTGAAATACAACTTGTAGTGGACACCAACCATACAACCAACATTGGTACCAGAGCTACAACTTTGCTGCTCCTTTGTTGTTTTTGAGATGTTTTTCAGTCTATAACTATGCCATGGAATAAATCTTAATTATGGTCAAGAAGAATGTGGAGGGATTCGACATTGTGACCCATCTCTTGTCAAAACGGGAAAATCAGCAATGGCCACATTATACCTCATAAGACCAATGAACCAGTATACCCCATAAGACCAATGAACACATGTATGTCTTTTTCTGGGTTACATGGATGATACAGCCTAATGGAGTTCATGGGTTGACTTTAAACAGGAAGGAAAAGGGTCCCCCTTGGCACTTAACGTGATGGTGCCTTTGGAGCCGTGTTCAATTTCAATGTGATTGAAAGCTGGTTAAAAAAAGTAAGTTATCAGAAGGGGGCTGCTATATTTGTTGGAAGTTTCAGCAAGGAATGAAGGGGACTTGGCCATGGAAATCAAGGTGAAACATAGGATGTGATGTTGTATTTGCGGCCTGCATGTGATACTTTAACACAAGTTTTTGGGAGTCAATATCTCAGGTAACGCATTCTATACTTCAAACTTTGTTTGATAAAGTTCCAAAGGGCCGCACAAAGGTTACTACCTATGGTAGGACATGGGATTAGATTCCACAAGTGTAGCAATATATTATACTAATATATTTTATCTAAGGGTGCGGTTTGTATAGAGCCGAGGCTCTAAACAATCAAAGTAAAACACACCTTCAAATAGTGTCGAGAAATGTGGCTTCAATACTGGAAATCTTTGTGATAGCCTTAAAATATATTTTCATCTTTAATTATAAAATTTAAATCTTTAAAAATAGTGTAGATCAAGCATATCTATGAAAACTTGAAAACCTTGAAAATTGATAGTTAAAAAATGCGTTACAAGATGCACTATTTTGAAAACGTGAAATCCATTTTTTTCTCATGTCCATGCATCTTGATGTCGAGATGAACAATTTGAGAATATTTGGGCATCAAAACAACCTTTTCTAGTGAAATTTTCGAGGTGGGTTCTAATTTGATTGTTTAGAGCCTCTGCTCTATGTAAACTTTTTCCTTTATCTAATGTCATATAATATAAAATAATATATTATTTATATAAAATATTATATTATTTATATAAAATATTATTTATATATTATAGCAAGAGGGTTTCACGTAGGTGCAAGCAAGAGTCATTTCGTTTCTCTGTTAGGCGGTGGTTGCGCCTTGATCTCGACTTCTGGGCTCGGGGCCCTATTTATGGGGTCCGACCCAAGATCGCTTCCTCAGAAAACTGCGTGCGCATGTGCGTCGTGCATGCGTGTGTGCGGATAGGTGCCAACAGTGAGAGATTTTGGTGTTGCGAGGGAGTAAGGCGCTTACGTCGCGACTGTTGGGTTCGTGGACACACTCGGGCTCGGCTAGCCCTCCTAGATCAATTCGAAAGTTCCTCGGCATTCTCGGCACGGTCTGGGTCTCGCTCCCTTTCTCCAATCACAGTACACCTTGATTCTTTTGCGCTTTTGGTATGAAATTTAGGGTTGATAGTTCTTGGTTCGTCCCCGTCAATGATGGTTTTAAGGTAAAAGGGGCTTAGGTAGGCTAAGCTTAGGTCTTGGATGGGGTATAAGAGGGGTAGATAAGAAGAAGAGGTGAAGTCAGAAGAAGAAAAGGAAGGAAGATGATCACTCTTCGATTTTGCGGCCTTCCGGCATCACCTCCGCCAAGAGGCCTTCCTAGTTGACCCAAAAAAGGTACTAGGCCTAAGCCTAATGGCCCGTAGGCACTGTAAGAGACGCAAACTTCTTGGGCACTAAAAAGCCCCAAGGTCGGCCTAATGCTCGGACCTTCTCAAAGAATGTATGAGGGGAAGAAGAGAAGAAGAAGAAGAGGAAGAGGGGCTTCTATGATTCGGTAGCCTTCCGGTGTCTCCTCTCCCATGAGATTTTACTGTTGACCCCAAAAAGGTATTAGGCTTAAGCCTAACACCTCGGAGGCACGACAAGAGACGCAGACTTCTTGGGCACTAAAAAGCCCCAAGGTTGGCCTAATGCTGGTACCTCCTCAATAGAGGGTATTTAAAATTGAAATAGAGGAGATTAAAGAAGGTAAAAAGAGTAAAGGAGAGAGAAAAGAGGAAGAGGGAGTAGAAAGAAAGAGAGTAAAAGAGACTGAGAGAGGGAGAGACAGGAAGACAAGAGAGTGAGAGAGAAGTGGAGCGGCCTAGCCGCCTCAGTCTTGGAGAGAGAGAGAGTGGGAAAAAGAGAGAAGACAGAGGGAGACAACGAGAGGAAGGGTGTCCTAGCCGCCTCCCTCTTGAGAGGGAGAGAGATAGGGAAGGAGAAAAGAAGAGATAAAGAGAGAGAGTGAGAGAGAAGTGGGTGGCCCAACCGCCTCACTCTTTGAGAGAGAGAGGGAGAGAAACGAGAGGGGGAGACACCCTAGCTGCCTCCCTCCTTGAGAGGGAGAGAGAGGAAGGAGAGAGAGAGTGGGAAAAGGAGAGAGAATAGGAGGAGCTGGGCGGCCCAGCTGGCTAGCTCTTCTCAGAGAGAGAGGGAAAGAGGGAAAAAGAGAGAGAGAGAGGGGAGCGTGGGCGGCCCAGCCGCCTAGCTCTGAGGAGGGGGCGCGGAGGGGGGGAGGGGGGGGGGGGGGGTGAAGAAAGAGAAAGAGAGAAAGAAGAAGAAGAAATGAGAAGAAGAAAGAAGAGGAAAGAGATGAGAGAGAAAGTGACCGGGGACCTAGTGAGTGGGCCAAAGGCTTGGACTCGGCAGCTAGGTGTGCTCCAAACAATCCTTAAAGTTCTCTTGAAAGGGGTTTGAGTCCATGGTTAGAGGGTTAGGGTGCAAGGTTAGGTTTGAATGGACCTAGGTGAACTATGATTTATGGTTAGTGGGTCAAGTAAGGGTTAGGGTGTATGGATTGTGATAGGTGGTCTATGGTGTATGGTGTGATATGGTGAAGACTAGGGTGTATGGTGAGGTTAAGTGAGAGCTAGGGTGAATGGTGACGTTAAGTTGTCTATGGTGTAGGGTAAGGTGTGCTGTAGGGAGTATGGGAGTAGGAAGTGGGAGGTTTGGAAGTTTGGGAGTCCAAGGGTATTCTTCTCAATGCCTAAATTCTCTCTTCTCTCTCTTGAAGCAAAAAAAAAAAAGCACAAGCTTAAACACGAAGGGGCAAAGCCTAGAATTTTATCTCTTCATTCCAACTTTCTTACTTGCTTATGTTATAAATGAATAAAGGAACTTGTATATGATCACCACAAAACAAGGGTGGATGACCAAATTGCAACAAGATTGCTAAAAAAATAAGATTAAAATGAACAAAATAATCAATCCCTTTTTTGGGCAAAATGATTATTTTGCCTACAGTCAGATTTTTGGAAATGACAAAACCATCCCTCAAAAAGCGGCTTTTTGTCATAGCCTTGCCTCGGGGTCCTTTTGATGCTTTACGACGATATTTCGGATGATCAATCATCGTAGAAATGATGGTTGTCTTGAGACGATCGATTTGATACCCATTTTGAAGCTTGAATCGAACTTTTGGTCACGAACCCAAAAATCCGGTGAAGTCCATAAACTTGTAATTTTGGTTATTTAATCTTTGCTCGTTTCACCATGTTTTTGGTCACTTTCTTCATCACAAATTGAGTGTCGATTGATTACTTTCTTAATTTGGATGGTTGTTGAAAAATGGGATTCCGGCGACCAGAAAGTATGCCTTCTTTCGAACCTTGATATGACGCCTTCCTGGCTTCCATTTTGAGCAAATAAGTACTCAAAATGAAGCCTTTCGAATCACGATCACAACGGATGTGGCTTGAGGCCATAGGTATTCAGAATCTTGAGATACAGCCGCTAGAGTGACGATATACGCTGCTGAAATTTTCTACCTTTTCATGGTTTTTGGCGACTTATCTCTACGATTTCTCCCTATCCGTGGGTCCCCATGGTGTGTACCACTCGCCAAATCATAAATTTTTGTGAGAACAACATACTTGAATTTGGGGTCGATCTGTTTCATGACGAGAGAGAAACAACCTTCATAAGTTGCCCCATTTTTGGACCGGTTCAAATGAATCCAAGTGAATAGTAAAAATCTTATGATGGAAAGTACGATCTAGGAAAGTCGGATTGTGTTGAAATTTGGCAGGGTGGCTGTTCCCAGCCTTCTGAATCCATTGGCGGTGGCCCCATAGTCACTAGAGGTCTCTAGAGTAGAGTTCTAGCTATGGTGCACTATAGTCATGTTAGTGGCCTATGCCAAAAACCGATTTTATACCTGTTTTTTTATTCATGGCCAAAATGGACAAAACTTGGAGGACATTCTTGGATCATCATAGGAGACTCATATGCTTGATCTGGGGCCAAGATGACGTCTCTATCATGGTTCTTCAAAATGAGGCTTATTTGTGTGGGGCTTTTATAATCCAATAGACGTGATTGGTACTACAGGCTTGGTAGATGGCCCGGTCCTGTAATTATAGTAAATTGCAAGTGGACCCCTAAGGAGATGAACTCTTGTGGATGCAGGAGTTCTCTTTCTAGCACGTGTATAGATCTTTTCATTGGATTGTCTATGAAAGAGTGACTTTCCATTTGTGACTGTGTATGTAGATGGTGTGAGAAGGCTTGACGTCAAGGATATGGCTCATCTCAAGGCCTTGAAGGGCTACAAACGTAATCCTAAGAACCTTCCTGTCGTTATGATAGCTGATTTAGGGAATAGGGGGATGAGATTATTCTTAAATCGATGGATCAGATTTAATCTCAATAAGATAGCAAACCTTATTTCTTCGACACTATTATGTAATACTCACTATTGGGAAACCTAGACACAATTGTGTGGCCTCTCGCTCTCTTTCTCTCTCTCTCTCTCCCTAAAGGAGATGCCACACCCCAACCTTGTAGCCCTGGGGGTGGCACGCTGCACACTAAGAAACCTTAGCCCCCTTTGATCATGGTTATGATGTTTTATGTATGGTGTATCTGAGTGACAACAAGGCTTGGTTGTGCTCTCTCATCTAGCCCATCGAGTTGGTTTGCCGTTATTTCTTCCCATCCGAAGGAAACTCGGATGAGATCTAGATTAGTTTGCCATAGAGCTTGGTAATCTGAAATGTGGAGTGCTAAGTCCTTTGTGGTGTTGGTATAAGACCAAGTACTAGGGACTCAAAAAATTTAAAATTCTCATCCTTTTAAAAACATGAGCTTTTTAGAATGTACAAATCCTTCATGAATTTGAACATTAATATTCAAAACACATCCACTAAACTTGGCCTATACAAATC